ACAAGTTAAAGTGAATGCATTTTAAATTAACCAGTTTCGGTGAAAAGTTAGCTCATTTAAAATTAACTAAGTTAAAAGCTATTAACTTTTCAAATGTTTAATTTAACTTTTAATTAAACAACTAATTCTTACCCAACTCTGAGTGTCGGTGATAATAATCTTACGCGTATTGCCACTGCTATTTTTCGGCTAAAACCTGAAGAAGATATAATCGAGTCGCCGAAAATCATTATAATCTCCATAGGATCCCTCTCGGTCATCATCGAGTGGATACGAATAATGTCAAATAATATTTCCATAATACGATAATTACACAGACGATAATTCCGGAGGAGAAATCGCGGCGAGAGTCTATTATTACCCAAGATTATTCGCGTCGGTGGATCTGGCTGTCGAAATTGGCGTAACTGAGAAATGACGCAGGAGAGGATGACTTGACACTTTCGCGCGCCAGGCGCGTCGGAGTGCTCGGTGTTCCTCAAATTTGCCCAACTCTTATTAGGAAAGTTGCGTCCTCGGAGTGCGCGACCGCGCGCGGAATGGGGTCAGAACGTGTTCCTTCCGTGAGCAAGTTCGTCGATTCCGCGAGACCTTCGGCTCGCGCGCGTCCTTTGCGAAGAGACATTGCTCCGAGATGAATGGAGCATTCCTGGAAGCGAGACGCGATGATTCAACGAACGGTCTCTCGGCGATCCTATGCGCGCCTCAATCCTCTTTCGAGCATACTCTCTCCCGAGGAGGAGGAGGAGGATCGCGTGTATAACGAGGCGAGAACGAGCAGGCGAGAGGCCGACAAAAATCGCCACCCACCCGCCGGTGGATTCCGGAAATACCGCGGCTTCCTGGCCGAGTGTGCATCACTTAATTCGGATACATCGATTAGATGGGCCCGGGGATGATGAAAGTAGTTCGGGCCCGGCTGAAAGTGTTCCTAGGAAAGCTGCGTGCGATCGAATTTGTCCATCCTTCTCGGAAACGCGCCTCCCACCTCGACCTCTTGCCTGTTAACGCTTAGTTTCGATAGTGCGGGTTTGTGGGTCGCCGGACGGCAAGGATCGACGGTGACGTGCGAGAGCCGCGAGAAAGAAGGCTCGCCTTCACCTGAGAATGCGCGTTTATTTAAATAAGCGAAGGCACGCTCGCGGCGGAAAAAAAGGCGCGCATGAGCGGGTATACGTGAATGAACGCGCGGCGATCGCATGACTGCCGTCGGTATGCGGCCTCCTTAGAGCTCTGTTTGCGGTTTATATCGAAATGGATACAGCCGGCGGACGGCCGAGTAAAGTGATCTTCGACGATAACGAAACTCGGCCGGCCTCGTATCGGTAACATAATTCAAGATTAAATACTGGCCCGCTACGAGAGAGAGATATTGTAGTCCAAGTTCTCTCGTGTTGACTTCTCGACTACTACGGACACGGCCCGGCGAGTGTCCTCCTCAACTATCGACGCATCGCGTCCATAGTTGACGTCTAACTCCCCGTCGTGCCCCGTCACTTAAGTCAATGAAAGACAGAAACGTATCGAAGAAAAAAAAAAGTCTCTCTTTGTCGCGAGAGAAATGATTTGTACGATCGTGATTCCGACAAAGCGGGCAGAATGTTTGGGAAATCTGAAGGGACGACCGGAACGTCGGATATTCTTGTCATACCGTTCAGTTAATCCGGGGACCGAGAATATGTAAAGATCTATTGTTGAAAAGAAAAGCCGACACCGATGAAAAGAGCTGACGGTAAGGGCGCGCGCGTGCACCGACAGAAGGGCGAGGAGTGTCAGGTGTGTAGGGCCCACTACATGTTTTATTGTGAAAAATGAAATAGATACAGGAAGGGAAAGGGGGGGAAAGGAACGAACGACCACTTGGATTAGGAGCTATCGAGATTAGTTATTGTGGGCTGACTTAATGCGAAACGCAAGCAACCGCTCGTGGTCGGCAGCTGACAAAGAAAGAGAGAGAGAGAGAGAGAGAGAGAGAGCTGCACAGGTGCATCCTCCGAGAGAGTAACGCGATATCGTGCGATCCGCCGACCCCAAGCGAAGATACAGCGTCCCGACCCTGAAGGGCATCGGCACGGTGGTGAATCATCCGGAGGAAATGATCCGTACATACCTTCGCGAGAGCGACAAGTGCATACTTGGACGTACACCGGCTGCACGGCTGCCCACGTGCCGTTCTGCGATCGTAACGCTCGTATTCACAGGGTGTCCTCACGGGACGCACCACTCCGTGAATCCTCTCCGAGTAAAAATTTGATTTCGCGTGGTAACCGAACGGGGAAACCGAGACAAAATTCTCGGTGACGAGATATTACATCTGTGCTCCGTCACGATCGAGAAAACACCCCTCTGGATATTCGGCTGCTGAAACTTGGCATTAAACTCGGTCGTGATAACTGAGAGAGTAATTGATTGAGAGCGAACCCCCCCCCCCCCCCCNCCCCCGTAGAAAGATTTCTGTTCCAATCGAGTCTTCGTCTGGTTCACAGGCAAAATTTAATTATATATGGAAAGAAAGACTTGGTTCCTGGGGTTGAAGAGGGACCAGAAGGCTCAGTGGCAAAGCGTGAGAACTCTTGGCAAAAAATGATACGGCATAGCGATTGAAAATACTCGTCTGAATATTGAATTGCATTGAAAACTCGATCGAGAGATAACTGAGAGCAACTGAGAGCGCTGACCGAGTAGAAACTTCCTACGGGAATCCTTCTGTTTCTCTGACGGAATTTTCGTCCGGTCGGGCGGCAGAAAATCAGTTACGCGCAACGAGTTTTCTTTGTCCGTGTAGAAAAGCGAATTACCGAAGGACGTACAACGGTTCTATATGCGAAGTCGAGTGAAAATGACGCTCGTGCGCTAAGAGAAAGAGTGTTACATTCGAGTAAATATTTGCTGCGGAGCTAATTGTTTTACTTGAATTAAACAGGTATTACTTGAACATAGCGGACTGAAGAAAAGTGGCGTGCGCGTGAACATTCGGCTGCGTTGAGAAATTCGCTTGAGATAACTGGGAGCGATCGACTGAGAGAAACCTCCTACAAAAATCTTCCTACAACCGAGTTTCGTCTGCTCCCCGGACAACGGAAAATTCCGTTATACCAACGGAATTGTTTTTCCCGTGCAGAGACAGATATGAAAAATAATTCTTTCTCTCTCTCTCTCTCTTGCATCGTCGCAACACGGGTAAGCAGCGATGTCGAGACATTCGAGACACGGTGTAAGTTTAGCATACCGGTGACGGACGGTCCGAGAAGAACGAAGTTCGCTTCTTGGTATGCGGCGTCAGGGAAGTACAAATGATACATAACTTACGGCCGCCGTTCACACTGGTATCCTAAACCGAACACAACTGGCCGCTCCGCTGTGGGAAGGAATCTATAGCGATTACGAGGAAATTCGCTGGACGGGATGGACAGGTGCGATGCATCTATGACACGATCGCGCGAGCTCGTCGCGATGTGTCCCCGTATCGCGGCTCTCCACCTGGCGGCCTTGCTCGCGTGAGAAAGATTAACGAAAAGACGACGCCGATCAACACCTTCCCCGTCCTAAATAAAAAGCGAGATATAATTGGCAGGTTCTCCTTTTCTTCGCGCTCATTCTCACTCGTCATTTCTACCGGGATTCTCTTCAGTCCGTTTGATTAACGTATCAATGATATCGGCCCGATATATTACAGCACACCGGGAAAAATTTCACTCCACTGGTAAGGACAGCGTTTACTCGGTTCATTTTCCTTGTTTTAAGTAACAATTATTTTCAATAAGGAGTATTTTTCTAATAATAGTTAGAATGTACTCGTGACAAATTTGAGAAAAGTTCATTATTAGGAACCGAAACGAAGAGTTTTGATTCCCTTTTTGAAATAATTATCGAAGAAAAGTCCAATTCGGTTGATTTCAACAAGCAAAGCCTGTGTGTTCTTAACCTTTTCAGAGGAGTTGGCCGCCACTACGCTGCATAGGAGAACGAAACGCGAGCGTGCATTACGCGGTAGACAGAACTCGCGCGGAGATAAAGCCGGAGTTCGATCCTCAGATCAGAATTTCATTTCGATTTTGCTTCCGCCATCGGCAGCAATTCTTACACAGAAGTTTCGCGAACGGCCACTATAGTGGCCATTCGTCGCGAAAAGATCAATTGAAATATCAAACTTACTAGGATTCAGAATATATTTCGAATTTCTTTTATTCTTATGACGAACTTACGGTATACATTTGCGAACATATAAACTCAGAAAATACTTGAAACGAGGTAACATTTATTTGTATGTATTTTTCTACGTGCGTCAAGTCACTCGTAAAAGAATTTACCCGTTTTTCTATTAAATTGTGATTTGCTGAAAATTCATGGATTTGGTTGAAAGCGAATTATGGAGACCTTATTAGACGAACCTGACACGATACCGAGCCGATATGAATGTGCAGGTGGTTTCTTCTACAGCTTATATACCGTATTTATTATATGTACACTCGCGTACATATACATATAAATACATTGCGCGGCATGCAACAATCGGATGCGATGTATCTCGTAGTCCCATCTACCCACTGAGCATGATTCAAGGCATGTGTTATTAAGAAACAATACCTGCATACTTGAAGGATGACTGCTTTTTTTTTCTTCCGCCAAGCAACTATTACAGCAGCGGTAAATCTGACTTACGAAGTAACGAAGTGACCGCAGAATAAATACGCGGGGGATATTCCGAAAGAATATCCTGTTAGACGTGCGTAATCGTGCAAACGCAGCTTCGAAGTGTGCCTCCCCATCTCTCTCTCTCTCTCTCTATCTGCCTCATCTCCCGTTGCTGTTTCGTAGAATAAAATTCATCTCAAAATCGTCGTCCCATAATCTTTCGCGTTAATCCCCACGCGAAGGACCGCGAGAGATCTCACGCGACTCGCGGAAACGCGAGGAGCGACGATGCGACGATAAATCTGCTGTGAAACTTTTCGTGCGACGTGGGACTAATGAATTCCTCTATCTTCTTTCTGTTGCAGATCGAACTTCCTCGATAAAGTCGCCTCGGCGGGATAAGGTGAGTCACTTCAGATATTTATCTCTCGCCATTCCATGTCCGGCGGGACGTAGCGCACGTTATACGCGCGCACGAACCGACACGCGAGTCGCGATTTATTATTGACCGCTTTTTCCCGAAAAAGAAAACGGAAATTCATAATAATATGACGTTCGTGTTATATAACAGTTACATTGTAACTGGAAAATTATAACACTGATGTTATGTCGCTGTTAGTTCGCTGCGCTGAAAAATCCCTTTAATTGACTCGAACAAAATGTTTGCTCGGATATGGGTAAACGACAAATGTGTTTCGGTTACGAGAACCAAAGATTTGGTCTGCCGAGAGGAAAATGAAGAAGGTTCGTTCGGAGAATCAATCTTCTCGCAACATTTATCCATATCCGAACGAGAATTTCGTTCGAGTCGACTAAATGGGTTTCTCGGCGTGTGCATGTTCTCCAAAGAAAAGACCTCGCGATTTTCCGTCCACTATTCCTCTTCCGAAATGCACACCAAGAGAAGCACATAAACAACATACCCCTGAGGCCACCTCTCGGTATCCCCTGCGTGTGTGCGCGCGCGCGTCAACCGGTGACGCTATAATTCGAAGTTATTCCCCGCGCGACGTGTGTTACGTCGCACGATAGACGCTACGTGTAATCGATGCCGGCTGAGTTTACGGTTGGCGCAATATTGTGTCTTATCTGCGATATTAAATTCCTGCGGCACAACTGACACATCCTGTTTCAACGATCGGCCCGCCCTTACATCCGTTACTGAATTACCGAGGCGACGACATTCTTACGATGCAAGTTTCGTTATGCGCGATAGGTCATGCCCCGGTCGGGGCGCGCTCTCGAGGATCGTTCTTGAAATCCGAGAGAGAGAAAGAGAGAGAGAGAGAGAGAGATCCGTGACGTTCAGCTTGTGACGTTGGACGTGATGTGGGCGGTCGTCGTCATCCGTACGCCCGCGGAATCTCGCGCCCACGGGAGCCGTCGCCCACGGGAGTCGAGAGTGACGCGTTCACCTGCATTCCGCCGCGATTCTCGAATTATCACCGATATCAATTATCACGGCCGGCTGGACGGAGGATCCCCGGCCGTAGTAAGGTGATCTATCACGCAACATTCGTCGCAGGCGGCACCGCACTGACGTCAAACTTCGCGAAAAGGTCGCCGACGCGATGGTATCGTCCTCCGCATAATCGCTCGCAATTACCCGCATTACGTTGAGGAAAAAAGACAAAAAAGAAACGGTTGGATCGACGAAATCAACGGTCCAGCGTCGCACGAAAAAATATCGCGCCTACTGAGCAAGTGTTACGAGTTGCCACACGGGGGAAAAGATTTCTTTGGATTAAGTGTTTCCATTTATTCGACTAAAATTTGTTTCATAGAAGCGACACACACTTGTACGGAATATTATTTGTTCGTGTAGAAATTTCATCGTCTCACTCAAGCGAACTCTATTATTTGGCAGAAAGAACGCTATTAATCGAAATATTTTTTAACCAATTTTGGAAAACAATTTTTTTTCTTTTCAATACATACAAAGATACCAAGATATTCGTTGAAAAGTCCAACAGGTCGTAGTTATTAATCGAAACGTTAGCTTCTTCGGAACACGCCAATGATGAAATTTGTTTTGCAAGGAAATTCATGAAATTTGAAGAAAATCTCGTTCTCAGTGCGCAACGATCTCGTCGTGTTGAAAGGAGACACAGTCGAGGACGCGGATGCGCTCGTTGATTTGGAAATCGTGTCGAATGACAGCAATGTGAGACCGATTAGGGCCGTGCAAAGCGACAGATACGAACCACGCGCGATAAGACGAGGCCCCGCGGAGAACGCGGCGCGGAATGCACGGTGCGCTGCGCTATGTGTTTGATTGTGCATCGCGCATCTCCGATATCCATCGAAGTCAAGCTCCGGCCATTAGGGAGCGCGAATAACGCGCGTATCGTCCGTTTAATTTTCCTCGTGAGTCGTTTGCCTTGATGCCGATGATTTCTTCGTCGTCGGCGGGAAACAACAGAATGTCTCGCAAATGCGAACGTAACGCTCGCTGGTGCCGCACGCTAATCAAGCGTGTCTTTCATCGTCTCGCGAATAAAAAAAAGCACACGTTCACATCATGGCCGGTTTATTGTGTGTATACTGAGTTTCAAAGCGAATCGAACGCTTCTTTCTCCTGACGCAGTTCGGAATGTAGCTCCGATGTTCCGATGAGGGACGTGGAATTCTCTGAGACGCGAGTTCCCCTCATCGGGCCGTCATTCACGAAATTACGATCGAGAAGGCAATGCGTTCGAACCATTTTGAAATCCAATGTACGTGGAACGCGGCTCGACGTGTTCGAGAATATTTTTTTTACTAATAACCCGATACGATATGCGAGATTCAGTTACATCAAGGCCCGTATTGGATTAGGACTGAGATTTGACCAGTCGGAGCGAAGTTCGTTAAACGTCAGTTGCTCCGATCGATCTAACTTCACTCCGATCTCAATCCTAACTCATGGTCCGACACGAGCTAGACGGAATAGATTTTCTTTCCATGTGGAACCATCGTCGAACATTATATCGCCCATTACCGACGAACTTGAGTTTCTCAGGCGAAAAAAATCCGTCGGGCCTCAACTTCCGGATGTTACCCGATTATCGAATATCTCTCTCAGTGACTAATAGGATACGCGGTTAACTTCGAAATACGGCCTCTTCATTCTTCGCACAACGAACCTTCTTCGAACGACGAAGTACCGGTGGGACGAATTGACGTCATTACTTCAGAGAAAAATCTTCACGAAGTCGCGCCGCTAACAGACGGAAGTATTGTGTATTATTCGGGTGCGACCGGGTGCCAAAAATTGACCTCCTCCCCTCTCGGTGATTTCCTTCTGAGAAGGTGATTTCGAAATAATACGTCACGATCGACGTCACGAATCCCGCTCGCATTGACCCTGGGCAATCCGCAGCGGGTTAACGTCGCCCATCCTCCGGCTGTGAATAATCGAACAGCCTTAGTGTCATTGCGACCGCGTACGATCTCTCGAGAGAGACTTCTAAGTGAGTAAGTACCGTCTTGAACGTGAGCGCGCGGCAATCGATTGATGAAAATCCTCATTGCGACACGACGCTCGCTCGCGGGTAATACCCGGATTGTTTCGGGAATTACCGGCGAATTTTTACCGGCTGACGACCTCGAGCCCGATCAGCAAGTCGGGACACCTGCCCGTGATCCGTTCCAGCGATTCTGCATCCGTAGAGAGCGACACAGCGTGACAAGTTCCACGAGCAGCGCTCGATTATCGCTCGCTCGCTCGCGTGAGAAAGTTCCGTCGAGACGGAGAAATCACAATAGCCGGTCGCATTTGTGCCCGTAGACGCAGCCTGTTGCACGTCGGCGCGACATCGCGCTCCACTTTAGCGAAAATCTATATGTGCACGTCGTCGAGAGTTTTCCTTCCATTCCTGCGATCAGCACGGATATTATCGCGGGCAGTCACACGCAATCTCCGCTTACGAGCGATCGTCCGGCGTACATTGTAGAGATTCTCTCTCTCTCTCTCTTTTTCTTTCTCTGTATTCAAGGCACCTCGGAGCGTACACGTCACGATACCAATTGAAATGCACCATCGAAAGTGGAAACTCATGAGATTGAGCGGGACGATATGTGCGTGTACGTGTGTATACACATCGCCGTCCTGAAATCGCCGTCCTGATTCGAAGTCCGTTGGAGGAAAGGAGACGCCGGCACTGCGCGACAGAAATCCCCGTGGCCGAGCTTCGTGACGCGCGAGAGAACACTGTGACCGTTCGCACGGGCAGAAAGTTCCCAAAGCTCTCCGATTTCGCGAGAGTCAGCTGTTTTCCCTCGCTTTTTCAGCGGTTCCGCGAAAGCTCGATGAGTGGTGGACGAGCGGGTTACTCACACGAAAGTTCAAATTCACGATATCACGCGGCGGATACGTCGCGGTTGCACTTCAGACGCGCGAATCGCGGTCTGCATTGTGCGGACGGTTGAAACGTGGCCATGCATTTACGGTGGTTGGTCTGCAAAACCGTTTTCTTAGGAAGTTTTTTTTCTAATTTTAGCCACGCGTTGATATATATATATATATATATATATATATATATCAACGCGTAGTATATATATATATATACTATTTGTACGCACGTAACGTCTGTAATTTTAGAGAATTAGGTACCACTTTTTATCACACGTACACCTCCGCTAGTTCAACTGATACGTATAAAGTATTAATAAAAAACTAAAAATAATATCTCCGTGTTTGTGTGCACACATTCGCTTTGATTTCGCTCCGAATTAACATTTTATGTATTTCTTAGTTGAATAAATCAAGTTATAGGAAAATATTTTTTTTCCCAATAAATAATAAACTTATGAAGAAGCCCCTTAATATCGCCGTTGAAAATTCGACGACCCAACTATCTTAATACGACGAACCGCGGACTTTTTTTTTTCGATCAAAGCGCCTGGCGACTTGTTTATCGGTAATGTCGTATCGTCAACAAACATCTCGAAGCATAGAAAAAAGCAGACATCAATAGAGAAACACAATCGGACATCGGAGTGCGTAAAAAAAGGAAGACACATACAGCGTAAAACCCCTATCGACAATCGATCTTCTCGGCCGACAAAGTGCCGATTGGTCGAACGCGATCAATATCATTTTTTTTTTTTCTTTACGTTACATATTCTCTCGCTCGATGCATCGGACTCTTCGGCACTCGTCAATACAAAAGTACAACATCGTGACACAATTGGAAAATCCTGGCAAGGTTCTTTCATAGCGAGCACGCGCGCGCGCACTGTAGTTACCCGCTTAGAATAGTGAAGGATCTTTCCTCGTAACTTACCGGCGCTGCGAGGCTCTCGAGAGGGAGAGGTGTAGACAGAGAGAGAGAGAGAGAGGAAGAGAGAGAGAGTGTGTTCGACGATTGTTAACAGGAGTTTCCACGTGTGTCACGCTTCTGAATCGATGAACCTTATCAA